AGTCATCTTACTTTAACTTTATGTAAAGTCATTTGTAAAGTTGTAATCATGTTTTGTTCTAATTTTGTCATATTAGGTTACTATTTTTACTTTTTTCTTGTATAAATATGATGCTCTTTCTTCAAGAAGGCATCATAAGTTCTAGTTTTCATAACAACTTATCTATTGTAAGAAATCATTTCTTTATAAAAATATGTTTAGCTAAAAACCTCTATTCTCTTTTAATAATTCTTTTTTCCTTCTTCCATAGTTAAAGTTTTAGTTTTCATGTTCTCTTCAAGCTATTTCATAGTTTACAGTGATACAAGTTGAGTATGCTCTGCAGTTGCCATAATATTATGGATCTTTGCATAAAAAATTCTTGTTAAACTGTTAAACAGATCGTTAATCATTTCCCTCAGCCAAAGAAAAGTTATATTGAACTAAGATCATACTAATAGTAAGTTACTATAGTGAAAGACATATCTTCATAAAAGTCAGGCCACCAGTTTGATGTTAAACCAGGAGGGCACCAAAGCCTTAAATATCAGCTAAAATACCTTGGTTATATGTTTGATCTATGAAACGCTTATGTTTGGTATTATCTTAACAAGTTAACAGATCCACATGCTATTGAAAAATAGTATCAGATATATTGTCACGATTCTACCACCTGGAGAATCCGAAACTGAAACTGTCAGTTACCAAAATCTTGACACTACTACCTGTCGTTGTCTCAGAAATGGTTATGAAGATTATTAATTGATGATATCTGATCGAATTAATGCCCTTAACATCTTGTTGGCAACCCAATTATCCTCTGTTGGGACACCTGTTTCATTTTTAAACTATTTTAGTGTTTGCGAAGTTTCATTAAATATTGTCAGATTTTGGTTTAAAGTGGAAAAATTTTATGTTTTTGTTGATTCGAGTTGGCATATGTCAACAGACTGCAAAAAGATATTTTTCATAAATTTTTTAAATTTGATATAAATAAATTTATTTTGACTTACTAAAAGAAAGTACCCAACGAAATCTAAAATCTTGTTGTTAAACATCACATCATGCATGGTAAGTTTCTTAAATTAAAGTTTTATGTTAAAATCATCAGTAGTAATAAATTTTGAATAGATGGTACTTAAAAAAAGTTCGAAAACTTGAACTTAAAATATTAGGATAAATTTAATTTAATATATATTATATTACAATATATATAATTATTAGATGTAATTTACTGATATAGAAGTTTATGTAGATAATTTTTTTTAACACGTAAAAAAATTGTTAAATTTTTTTTTATAATGATATATAAGATATATTTTTTTTAATTTTAGACTATTTATCAAAAAATAAATTTTAAAATTTATTTAATTATCTGAAACTTTTAAAATTTAAATGAAAAATCAATTTACATTTAAAACAATTAAAGGGATAAATTATTATTATTTATTTGGGTAAGATTTTATTTAAATAAGTAAAATTAATTCTTATTTTTATTTATAGAATAAATAAATTTATTTTAAAAATTATTTGGTTATCCAAAATTTTTAATATATATTTATTTGAAAATTTAAATTATCCAATTTTTTCTTTTGCTAAAAAAAATCATCTTTATTTATCAAATACACATTTTAAATATATCTTTTTATTTTTAAATTTTAATTTTCCAATAATTTTCTAATAATTAGTTCTATGTATAGGTCTGTATTAGATTAGTCCTAAATAACCAAATAGCAAATGAAAAAGTACAATTGTTCTTGATTTGTAATTAATGTTGCACTTTGAAATGTTTATATTTTTGTTGCCTTTACAATTAAATTTATAATATTAATAACTATAAAATTTACCTGTGGAATATGAAAAACTTTACCTACCATCCATTTTCAATCAGGATAATAATATATATTTTTTATTTTTTAAAATTAATTTTTTAGATATATTTTAAAATTTTAAAATATCAAATATAATTTTATCTTAATAGATTTCATAATAATCTTTTATTATTTAAAAATGATCAAATTTAATCTCTTAATAATTTATAAATGATTGTTTAATATCATTCTTTAACATCAAATTTTTTTTTGTCCTTGTTTTCCATTTTTGTGTTAACTCCTTTTCTTTTTATATTAAAAAGTGGAAGTTATAAAAGCATTTATTTATTTTTAGATATTTATAGTCAGCACACCGTCTTTAACTTTTACTTTTATATATATATATATTATAAGATGTAAAGTTACATAAACACATATATTATCATATTTTGTAAGTGCTATCTATAAACATTTTCTCCTTACTTTTGACTATTCACTTAATTAGGTAATATTTTTTATTTTAATTGGCTTTCTTTTTTCATATATTATAAGGTGCAAAATTGCAGAAAATATTTTTTCTTTTATTTTGTAGGTATTATCTATAAACCCTTTTTTCTTTATATTTAACTTTTCACTGAATCAGATAATTATAATTCAGTTTTTTTTACAATATTTAAAAATACTTTCATTAATAATTTGCTTGATTACATTGATTTGAACATACTATTTATATCAAAATATTGTTACAAATAACATGAACTAATTGAATTTTGAAATCATATTTTATGAATGTAATATAATTAACACATCAATTATGATTTTATATAAAAATTTATAATATGCTATATTTTTTCCTCTTTAAAGTCATAACACTTTTTTTATTTATAAAAAGTTAGGATAAATTGAAATCCAATTTGATTTCATTCTTTTTTATTTTTCAAATCAAATCTCATTTAGTAAGCACTTGATATTTTCTTAAACATAATTTTTAAAAAATATGAATTTAAAAAATTAAGAAGTATCCATGAATTTGGTGGCATCAAGTTGTAAACATTCCTAAATTTTATATTATGTTTCAAGTTTGACTCAAATTACCTATTCAATTTATATTTATTATTAAAATGTTAAAATTTTATAATATTAAATATATTTTAAATTTAAATTAAATAATTTTTAATGTAATAATATTTTGAATCCATACTTAAAAAGTTATGTATAAAATCATAAATTTGACCCATAATCCAACAAACGAATAGGTCTACTTTCTAATAAAGTTAAAAAAATATATTCAATTACAGTCCATTTGTGTTTTTTTTTTTTAATTTCCTTTGCTCGAATCTTGAAAAACATTCATTAATTAAACATGAATATGAATTTAAAAATAGATATTTTCTTAATTTATTTTAATTAGTTTAGTTAAATTAAATTAAATTTATTTAACTAACTTTTTAAGATTTAATTGATATAAAATTATATATTTTTCATTTGATAAATAATACTATCATACTTAAAATGTATGAGATTATATGGTAAGAAAAAAAATTAAAATTAAAAAAATAATTTGTGATTTTTTTAAAAAACCTTATAATTAACCATAATTTATAGGATTTTTACCATTATATTTTAACTATAAACTAATTTCAAGCACAAATAATTAGATATATATGATTTTGTTTTTCTTTTAAATTTTAAAATTTTGAATAACTAATGATTTTTTAAATATATTTATTTGATAAATAACATAAAATTAGAAATGATCTTACTGTCATCATAAAAATAAATTTTTTTACACACATAAATTATTTATGATTACCTTATTAAATAGATAATAAATAATTAGATTAAATGATAAGTAGTTTTTAACTTACTACATTACAAACTAAATCTCCTAAAAAAAAGTTTCAATTACAATTGAAAAATAATTAATTAAATAATAATTAAAAGTAAATTAATAAAGCAAGATAATCCATGCATTGCACGAGTAGCAGATTAGTTGTAGCAATAGATTGATAAAATAAAAATATTTAAAAAATAAAAATTCAAAATTTTCAAAATAAAAATCATAAATAAAATTTTACATATTATGTATATATATGTTAGTCAAACCATTTAACTCATGATGCTAATGTGAACATCTCAACAACAGTAAGAGCAACTATTTTTACAGTTAAAAATATAATTAATTCATGAGATATAGTTCAAATGAATCTTATAATTATATTTAAAAAATGGATGTTTAATAATTTAAATTTTTAATGCCTACAATTTTTTTTTTTTATTCTTCGATATAATTTTATAAAAAAATTCAACCAACCAATTAAAAGGCCAATAATTGCGGATAGCCGAAAGAAAATTCAATAAGTTATTTTCAAGTCGATCACCAAAAGACACAGCTAGCTGTATTTACCTGCAACGGAGACTCTTAAAACGTGATGGGTAGGGGAGAAAGTTGTCATATGTACTTGTCTCATTAAAAAGTTGTCACTCGGCGGGAGGTGGAAGAAATAAATACTGCCAACAACATTGGTCTTCTTCATTTAAAAGTCCAAATGAAAATTCTAGGAAACTTGACGAAAATGATCAATCTACTGTATAAAAGTGGTAATAACCAATCCATGCATATTTGATGTTCTTATATGTACCAGCTGGGACTTGGTTTTTCGTTCATTTGGTAGTAATTTTTGTGGTGAGACGTTTGCTAGTTGTCAATGGCACCAAAACGGCTTACCCTATATGTTCTCTTTCAGCTATTTCTATGCCGAGCAGTAAATGCCAAACATTTTAACTGATATTTTTTAATGGAGCCACGTGGAATTAAATAATTTGTTCTTGGAGAGGGTCCAATTTATCCGCTGTACATTTAATATCACTATATAAATGGGGCTTACAGCCATTTTGCATGTCCTAAAAGCCTACTTATCAAATATTGATGAAAGCTATTGATCAAATATTGTCAACCACAAAATTAAGCCTGATTTTATCTTATTCAAAATAGATATAGAATTAATCTAGAGTTTATTTTAAATGATTTATAAAATTATATTTAAAATAAATATTTAACAAATTTAAATTTTAAATATTAATATTGGTAATTTTTTTTTTTATTTCAAAATTACGAAATATTTTTTATAAAAAAAATAGTACATTTGATTTTTTTTCTCAATACAAGAAGCACTGATTATTTATAACTTTTAAGCGTCTAACCAGTCGTTTCCTGCTAGGCTGCAACTTGGTTTCTTTGCACTGATCCGTATAAAATTTAGAATCTGGTTAATAAGAAATGCAATGGCTTATCAACTTTAATCCTACTGTTTTATGACTTTAAATGTTAAAGGCAATATTTAATACAAGTAGTTTACAGAGAAAATCGCCACCAATTATTAAATCAACCAACACAACCGACCCGTCTGTGACTTATTTAAGAAATGAAGTACGGCAACAGAAGAGTCCTGGATGATAATAATATTCACGAGTCGTTCTCTATAAGAGATATATTTTTCCTTTCCAAGCTTAGCAAGTTAGATAGCTCAAAAATGGTAACAACAATCTCGACGAAGGCAGTGATTTTGGTACAGGTTTGGGCACTGGTCTTAGCTGTACTCATGCCATTGCTCTCAGGAGCCGTGGATACTCATCAAGTGAAGCAATTGGCAGCTAAATTCAATGTGACTTGTATACTAGTTTTTGGAGACTCAAGCGTTGATCCTGGCAATAACAACTATCTTGCTACGCCCATGAAGGGTAATTTCCTTCCTTATGGGAAAGACTTCTTCAGAGGCCGCCCAACTGGTCGGTTCAGCAATGGAAGGCTAGCCACTGATTTTATTGGTAATTTACTGACATGGCTCTACAAAACCCTTTTCAGAGCATTACATATATGTCAACCAGTCTAATTTTTACAATTTTGAGTCTCGAAAGGCCCTGCATCATCTTATTAATGGAATCTATTCTGACCAATTAGAAGCAATTAGATAGATCCCCACGCACATAAAGATTGATGTTGCTGAAAATGTTGGATAATTCGTCTCGTTGATTTTGATTCATCCTTTATAACAATTAAGATCAAGCTCCTAAAACATTTTTGAAATTGTTGGTTCAATTATCAGTCATGTTTCATAAATTCATTGTCAAGAGAACAAAGGAAAAATTGATTTTGGTCAATAAATATTGACAATTCTCTCTGCTTGGCTGTTTTATTTCAGCTGAAGGTTTGGGTTACACAAAGGCAATTCGACCCTTCCTTAGCAAGAGATTGAGGCCACTTGATATCTTACATGGTGTTAGTTTCGCATCAGCTGCTTCTGGTTATGATGAGCTCACCGCCAATCTCTCTGTAAGTCTTTAAATCTGTCCCTTCATTGCGGTTTTACTTTGGAAACATATATAATTTTTGAGTTCCCTTTTCTTTTCCTTGGTGAAACAGAATGTCCTGCCTGTTTCCAAACAGCTGGAGTATTTCAGGCACTATAAGATACGGCTGAGTCAATTGGTTGGTGCGAGGGAAGCAGAAAACAATATAAAAAATGCCGTAGCTGTGATGAGCATGGGCACAAATGACTTTCTCCAAAACTACTACTTAGAACCTGTTCGCCCTAAGCAATATACTTTGGAAGAGTACCAAAATTACTTGGCCTCTTGCATGTCTGAGGACGTTAAGGTGCCTCCCCGTCTCTCTGCTATACTATATCTTCAGCATTAAAATAAGAAAAAGAAATGGAAGGGATGGGGATGGGGATGGGGATGGGGAGGTTATACAAACAAACTCTAAAATAAACATGTAGCCTAGAAATTGCCGTATCATTTTGATGGTAGATCACCTTAATTTTTCAAAATTCTCTTTTGTCAATCATTCTTTTACCTCATTATTATAGTATTAATGTCATTTTCTAATTAAGTTGTTGCAACTATTTTTATAGGTTGATATTTAATGGAAATTATGTCATTGGGAAGTTAGGTTTAAATGATCAATCACATTTGAGCCATACTTTTATTCTAGCTATTTTTGGCTAATAGCCCTAAATTATTGCTTTTAGGATAATTAATGATTTCATAATTGATGGCCCAAGACAGGGAATGAACATAAAAAAAAAAAAGAAACTTCTATCAATATGGAATTTAACTTAATTCATTCATGTAATTAATTTTAAAAGATAATATTTAAGATGTATGTAATTCAAATTTCAGTACTATGATCTCTTTAATTCTTACTCATATTGTAATTTTTTTATTAAAAAAATTACTATTTAACTAGAATTGAAAGTGAAAAACTAAGTTTTATTACTCTTTTACATCAGAAGCATGAAATATTAATTAACAAGTTTTACAAATCTCAATAATTATTTTCCTAGCTACCTTCTGTTGGTTTAACGTTTAATTTTCCATGTCGTTTAATTATTGCAGACGATGCATAGGCTTGGAATTACACGATTAGTCGTTGTTGGGGTCCCTCCCTTGGGCTGCATGCCCCTTGTCAAGACTCTAATGGACCAGGAAACATGTGTGGAGAAGTATAACAATTTCTCCTCCTCATTCAATTCCAAGGTAAAAGTGAAGTTGGCCGACTCGAGAACAACATTAGGGATGAAAATTGGCTTCGTTGATGCTTATGGCATCATTCAGGATGCTGTGAACAACCCCAAAAAATATGGTAATTAGCTTTGATCAATCCTTCTTATTTCTTGTTCTTTACTTGGTTTTAAAATGCAAAAGAATGATATCCATACATACATATATATATATATATATATATATATTCTGAAACACCCAAAAAAATGACAGGTTTGACTGAAACTTCCAAAGGATGTTGTGGAACGGGGACCGTAGAGTATGGAGATACATGCAAAGGCATGAGCACATGCGCTGATGCATCAAAATATGTATTCTGGGATGCTGTTCATCCGACAGAAAAAATGTATGAGATAATCGCTGACCAGGCCATAGATTCTCTCCGAGAACAGCTGATGGGCTAGCTAGCTGAGATTTTAGGTAGATCGATAAAGTAATTAACTATTCTTGCACTAAGGTCTAAGAATAGATGCAAGAAAATGTTTGGCTAGACTAACATTTCAGTTTGTCTCGTTTGGTTAATCCATGTTTCTTAATAGTACCACTTTATTGCATCCAGAAAGACATGATTATATGACTTTTTCCTGCCCCTTTTGCATGCCTATAACCTCAAGATATGATCGCCATATGAATGTTTTATAGATTCAAATAATTGGTCTTAGATCATGTATCCCTCGATGAACAGAAACTTGAGAAAGACAATTTAAGTTCAACATTTGTTGCAATGTCTCAATTTCATGTTGAGATAATTTGAGATTTTATTATGATATATAAGTAAAAATTTAATTTTAAATCTATAAGGTATTTTTAGTAAGATAAAATCATGAGATTTTTTTATCAAAACAAATAATATCTTGCATGTTAGATATGGATCTTCACATTTTAATGAAATTATCAAATTATCATTATATCAAAAGTTTTCTAGTGGATTTTTTTTCTTTTTTTTTTTTTTTCTGGTATCCCTATGATTTGTATTTTTTTTCAACCTTTCCAGTAAATGATTTTTAAAATATTAGTTGAAATTAATTTTTAATAAATGATTTGTGGATTTCAAAAGAGAAAAAGAAATAGTTTTGAAAAATTATAAACCCAAAAATTGAAAAATCCTATCTTTTAATATAATCACATAATAATTTTAAAATATTAATACAAATGAGTACTTGGTAAAAAAAGTTAAACATGAACAAAAATTTTAGCACAAAAGATATCACATTAATTAATTTATATTTAGTATGCATACGTTAACAACTAGGGACGGGTGGAGGCCGTCGCCTCAAAGTTTTTAACAATGTGTTTGGATTGACGGAAAAAAAAAGAAAGTAAAGAAAAGAAAAGTAAAGGAAACAAAACCCTTTTTTTTTTTTTGTTTGGATAAATATTTAATTTACAATGTGTTTGGATCGAGGGGAAAGGAAAGTAAAGTAAAAGAAAGTAAAGAAAACAAAACTTTCCTTCTCTTGTTTTGATAAATATTTAATTTAAAAAAATGAAAAGAGGTGAAAACCAAATAATTTTTTATTTCTCTTGTAAATATGATTTTTTTAATACCCTAATTTGGAGAAAAAGCTAGGAAAAAAGAAGTTGATTTTTTTTTTTTATAAAAAGACTAACATGTTAATTTTTTTATTAATACTAAAAACAAAATAAAAAAAATCTAAGCAGATTACAATCATCTTGTAATTTTTTGAAAGCAATCTCTTTTTTTAAGTAAGTTTTATATATATTTTCAATATAAATTTTTTTTATAATTTTTTAGTGATTTGATTTTGATGAATGGTTGAATATAAACAGATATATTTTTTGGGTTTATGAGATGTTAAACTAACTCAAAATTTATCAATGCATATTTGTAAAACATCTTCTTATTTCATTTGATTAAAAATCATTAATATAGCAGCAATTGTGAGATCAGACAATATTAGAGTTGGCAACGAGTTAGGTCAAGGCGAGTTTTTTCTTGCCCCGAACCCGACCTTAACCCAGTATTATATAAACTGTATCTGACTCGACCAAATTCGAAATTAATAAAATATTATTTTTTAAATATAAATATTTAAATATATAATTATATAACTATATATATAAATAATTAATTAATTAATTAAAAAATAATTTTTTATATAATATCGGGTTGGGTTTGCCTAAAACTAGAACTCGACTCAACCTTGATTTTTTCTTAGCCTTACTTGACCCAACTTAACCCGAAACTCAATTTTCAAAAAAAAAAAAATCGACCCTATGAGATTGGGTCGAGTCGGAACCCGTCGGGGACGGGTTAGGTTGTCGACCCTAGACAAGATAACAAATATATTATAACTCAGAAATGCTCTAAAATCATAGACAATGAAATGTTATAATTAAAAAAAATTATTATAATGAATCATTTCTTTTTTTTTTACTCTTTATCCAAATAATGGCTGTTAGAATTCATTTTTTTTCTTTTTTTTATTAATATTTATCTAAACATAACATTAAAGAAAAAAGGGAAAAAGGTGAAAACCAAATAACTTTTTTTTTCCTTATAAATCCAATTCTTTTAATACCCCAATTTGAAGGAAAAGCTTGGAAATGAAAGTTGAAAAAAAAAATTTTTTATCAAAAGACTATTATGTCCATATTTTTATTAATACTAAAAACCTAATAAAAAAAACTTAAGTAGATCACAATCATTTTATAATTTTTTAAAGTCATCTCTTTTTTCAGGTAAGTTCGTATATATTTTTCAATATAAAATTTTTTTATAATTTTTTAGTGATTTGATTTTAATAAATGATTGAATATAAATAGATATATTTTTTAGGTTTACGAGAAATCAAACTAGCTCAAAATTCATTAATGCATATTTATAAAACATCTTCATATTTCACTTGATTAAAAACCATTAATATAGCAATAATTGTGAGGCTAAAAAAAATAGCAAACATATTATGATTTAGGAGTACTTTAAAATAACAGGCAATGAAATGTTATAATTGAAAAAAAAATTATTATAATGAATCATTTCTTCTTCTTTTTTTCACTCTTTATCCAAACAATAGTTATTAAAATTTTTTTTATTAATTTTAATTATCCAAATAAATGTTACATGTATCATTTTATTTCTTTTAAATTTTTTTTTTATTAATATTTATTCAAACATATCGTAAAAGTTTATAATATTTATATAAGATTTAATTTTTATATAAACTTAAATAAACAAAAAATTATGATTTTGCCTTATCAAAAATTAAATATAAGGTTTTCGTTTTTCAAATTAAAAATCTTGATTCTGATTTTTTTTGGAATAAAATGTTTAGAGAATTGAAGATTGAAGACATAAATATGTAGTATTTTAAAAATGTTTAACTAAGTAATCCCCAACTTCAACAAGAAACATTTTATAAGCAGACAAAAAATTTCTTCTCTCGAACTAACCAAAAACCAATATTATAAATAGCTCTAATTATGACTTAGGAAAGGTTTTTTTTTTTTTTTTTTGGTCTTTTTAATAAAAAGAGACAAAAAAACATGTGATTAAATCCCTGCCAATGGAAAAGTATTAAAAAGATTTTGGGAAAATGAAATTTCAATCCATTACGTTATACACTTTTGGAAACTGAATACTGTTAATTAATAGATCCAATAAAAAAAAAACTCACAACCAAACCTGTGCGTGCATTAAATTTATATGTACAATGCATTCAATGGATCGGTACTCCACCTACACATACAAAAACTAATGAAATAAATTTATAATAGCATGATTTTATATCACTCAATAATCATTCAAATATCAATCCTGGATCATTGAGTCTACGACAGGACGATTAGCAATAAATAACTTGGTGTATGTTATCTCAGTTGGGTGAATTGAATCGAAAAATACATATTTAGATGCATCAACACACACATATGATCCTGGATTACACAGAAATCCTGCTTCTAAGTAACCACTCCCACAGCAGCCATGGCTAACCTCATCAAAATCTACAGGGAAAAGGAAAAAAAAGGTAATATGTGATGTAACTTCTGACACTTTGTTTAAGATAAATTAGAAGTTTTATTCTTACCCTGTTTTCCAACGCCTTGAATCATGTCAACCAATGGTGTGAAAATGTCAATGTAAAAGATTTTTGCACTAAGATGAGCTAATCTACCACGCATGGAATTCACTTCATTTTGGAGCATTTGGTTATATTCCATTCCAACCCGAGAATATTTTTCAATGCAACCACGTTCGAGGATTGCGTTTTGAGAGTTGAGGGTGATGACAACCGGTAAACAACCCATTGGAGGCAGTCCAGTAACTGCGATTCTCCGAGCTCCTTCATCCCCTAAATCCTGTGGTAATGAGATTACGAGATACTACTAATTAATCAAATCTTGCAAGTTCGAGCTTGTAAGTGTAGTAAATTGAGAGCTTTCTTAAAGACTGCCCCCTAGGCCATCCTGAAAAAGGTGATTGCGATTCCTCAATCACGGGAATCGGGAAGGCTTAATGTTTGGACCCCATGCATTCCTTGCAATCTTTCTGGATCTCGATTCGGACTCAACTACCATACGATACCTTAACTAGCTGTTATAACTATCCAGTAAATGTTTGTACTCACTGTTTGATCCCTAAAGTGGGCAATTATTCACAGTCAAATGATCAAATTTTAAACTGTTCTATGAACCATCGTATCTATATCATTTATAGTTTATCTTTAATTAATAACAATCTACTCATTCATACTATAAATTGGAATTTTTTATTTATGAAGCTAATTATTATATCCCTTTAATTTGATAATTGTAGCTGCAGTTCTCAATCCAAACCTGTACGAGCCGCTTCACATTTTGCAAGATGAACTGTTGATAAGCTGAGACAGTATAATCCTTTCGTCGAATTGGTAAGGTGAAATAGTTGATTACAAAGTCATTGGTACCAGCACTGACAAGAAACACAGCTTTGTTAATAATATCTTCCATCCTTTTCTTTCCAATGGCAGATTGCAGTCTTTTTTTATACTCTTTAAAATACTCCAACTGCTTCGGAATCGAAACCACGCTCTGGGATTGAACAAAAACACTTAAAGAGTCAACGAATACAGATTATGTCAAACGTAAATCACTTTTAACATTCTACATATATCTAAGTTTATAACATATCAAGGAGAAAAAAAGGAAAGGGAATTCAGACAGATATTTGTGGTGTAAGTGGATCAAATCCAGATCCGGCCGAGGCGAAGCTAACTCCTGTCATTAGCTCCTCAATGCTAAGGGTTGGATCCAAATATGGTGGCAAATATTCTTTTATGCCTATATATGAAGCTGTCTCCATGCACAAATCAAAGCCAACAGTGAAAATAAACTCACAAAGTCAGACAAAAAGGGACCAATTATTGTATGTTCAATTTCAGTGTATATAATCAACCTACCAACGAGATCAGTAGAAAGATTCCCGTTAGTAAATCTACCGGTCGGCGTTTGATCTTTGAAGTCCTTTCCATAGGGAGGAAAATTGCTCCTAAACAAGGTCTCTACATAGTTATTATTGCCAGGATCAACCGTCGAATCTCCAAAGACAAAAGCAGCCGAGACCTTGTTGTTGAAGGGCCTTTGCTTTACTGAAGCTTCAGCTTTAGCAATGAAAAAGAATACTGACAAGCAGAGAAAGGGAGGAAGAGAATATTTATGCCGAGGTTCCATGTAATCAGCTAGTTGATTTTGGGAACTGATCAGTGTGTAGATTTGAATGCAGGTTGGGATATGCTTATTTTTATATAGCTCCCGTTAGTTGTGTTAAATTTTTTGTCAGTTATAAAAATGAAAGTGGGTCACGCACCAGTTGAATTCTCTTGATAAAAAATTGTTCGTTGGGTACAGTGTTTCGTCACCATTGCTGTTTTAAGTTCCGTTGCTGTGGGTTTCGAAACCAAACATTTCCTGATTAGTCATAGCTTCTCAACGACCTTTGCCAAGGAAAGTTAGATTTTGAAATTACAGAGCAAAATTTACCAAATTAACCAGTCAGAGGCTTTTCATATATTGCAATGCTATCATTTGACAAAAAATTATTTTGGTAAGTGAAATTAGTTGTTGGACTAATAGAAAGTATAAACTCTTATATGGTAGTTCTTAAATTTTAAATTGGTAACCAACTTAAAATCCATAAGTTGAGAAGTCCTTTTATGTATTCAGATTATCCTACTTCAGAAATAACGGACCTATCACGTAATATAAACTTCATGTGTCGAGATAATGACCTATCACAAAAGAGCTAAAGTACAGGGGCAAAACTTGTTTTGATACCGTATTAAATTTTAAAATGAGCATCAACAACGGATGTATCATATGACATGAACTTCACTTATAAAAATAATGACCTATCGCAAAAGGACTTGCGAAAGAGCCAAAGAATGGAGGAAATACTTAGCTTTGATATCATATTAAATTTTAAGACGAGCATTTAACTTAAAAGTGTTGAGAAGCCCTTATTATATTACGTGCTCAAATTAATTTTAATTTAACAATTGTGAGATTTAAATCCCACATCTATTAAATTGGAGTAATTTGGGCACATAATATAATAAAAACATATTTATTTGGTTTTCAATTAATTTTAAATTAGACATTTATCGTAAAATTTAACCTAGTAATTGTGATTTTAACGTTGTAAACAAAACAACTACCAAGTCATGGAACTTGCCTTTTTTATTCCCATTTGATAAGAGTGACTGAACATGTTGAAACTTGAAAGTAAGAAGCTTCCGCTCGAAATTTGGTCTTTTCATTTTCTTTACTCCCACCGACAAGATTATCAAAGGATCTTACTATGAAATTTAGATTATACTGTCATATCATGCAGGATAATTATTTTTTAACCAAAATACGGGATAATTAATTGATCAAATAAAATTATTGTGAAAATCGACATAATAGAGTTTGTCTGTGACCTGTATGCGGTGAGCAATGGACAGATCTTATGAGAACGTTAGCAAAATGATGTTGATCTTATCCTCTGCTCAATCTTTCTGTCGAATCTATCTTGAATCTGATTCATTGGTAATCTAATAAATATATGTATCACTTGACCAATTATAAATATACATTGTGCCCCGTAGATTTCAGAACTCAACTTTAATTTCTAGTCGATTGAGGCTATCGCTTTACATTAATATTATTAAAATGCAAGCAAATTAATCAAAACTGTGAAGAAACTGCGGACTTGTTTCTTTCTGTGCTTTGAACATTCTTCCATTCAAGCAATTGATCGAGTTTTCATCAGTTCTTTATCATCGTCAATAAAAATTTCTCTTTTGTTTTGTCTGTGTGATATATCCACATGCAAATTTCATCAAATGAATGCCTGGAAGGCAATATGTAGTGATCCTCGCTTTATAATTGGTTTATCATCACGCACAATGGGGGCCAGGGCTGGTGCCTGCTCCTTGACAGTTGGGCCTAATGGATTAGATTTATTGCTAGTGATCGCAACCAAATATATATATATAAACAATTAAATAAAGCTGCAACTTACCAATCGGGTTGAATGCTGCCATTAATAGCATATGGACCAGGTCTCCGGTTCAAGCAAGTCATTACTCTTCACATGGAAATTGCATTATAATTGGAGAAATTAATGTGGCTGTCCCAACACTTTCTTCTAAAATCAGTTACTTCTGCGACCATTCTCCAAGCAGTTACATTCAAAATTATTGAGGCTTTTTTTGGGAGGAGATGAGCAGCTTGGTGACTATAAGGTGAGTTGGGTTAGTCTGGATCTTCAGTCAGAAAGTGGGTGTTGGAATTTACTCTTCGAGATGCATTCTCACATTCAAATCGGTCAACTGCTTTAAAATTTTTGAAAGAAAAAAAAAGTTACAGATCATAGAAAAAGTTTAAAGCTGAAGGGTTGCAGGATGTATTTATGAATCTTCTTCTTACCTTATAATAGAGACAAATGGATGCTAACATCACCGAATTCGATAAGAGTTGAGAAGTCCTCGTGAAGCTCGAGGAGGATTCATGATAGGAGAGCGTAAGTTATATTTAATATTCCCATATAAATTGGAAGTAAGTTAATTTGTTGCGAGGCATCAAGATGAGGTGTTGATAGGATATTAATGGAGATAGTGAGACGAGCTACTTTCATAAACAAAAATGTCCTAGTAGGCGAACAACCTAAGGATAAGCTCATGTTATGGTGAGAAGTCTAGATAACAATCCTCCTTAAAAGTGACATGACAAATTGAGTATGTGTTAAATTAACGAGACATGAAAGTTGATCTTATTGACTGAATAATTAGATGTAACAAGAATAGATTGATTTATTGGTAGATTCATTTATTGATAGTATCATAATAGTCCATAATAATTATCTGTGTACGATGAGATTTATGCTTATCAATGGGAGTTGGGACCCCAGAACTCACATGGTCGATGCATGCCATTACGCTTCTTTGAATATATAAGAAATCAAATATTCAAAGCATGACTAAAAAAAAAATGAAAACTTAGTATGACTGAGGAAATCTTAAAACAATATATCAGGACTTATAACAAGTATGGAACAAAGACCGATTTGATTAATTACTTTCTATTTGTAATTAATAACACTATTATAATTAAGACTCCACGATTCATATATTTATATTATATAAAATATTAAAATTTTTATATTTATATTATATTATATATAAAAATTACGTATAATAATTTACAACGGCACGAATACGTAAAATATATTTTTTTATTATATTAAATATATATAATTATTATTAAAATTTTAAATTATATCATATTTATATATATTTTTTTATATTATATTTGTATCATATTTTACATTATCAAATTTAATTATAATATAACTGCAAGACCTTAAAGTTGAATAATTTGCATGGATGAAACAGATTGAATAGAGATAAATTACTAATTAATTGGCTTCATAAATTTGCATTTGCTCTTCAAATTCTAAATGTATTTGATTTACAACATACTTTCCTCTAACTGAGTACTCTGACGCCTGACTTGGCGTGATTTCTCAATGGAATTATAATTAAAGCTAGACTAATGGTGACCCATGCATGAAGCAACATTACCAGCTCGATAACTGAAACATTTAATGTTGGATTTTTTTTTTTTTTTTAATGTTGGACGCTTGAGTAAATATGTTCAAGGGTTAAGTTATTTGTCCAAATTGAAAAGATCATTTAAATTTAAAAAGATTTAAATAAAAAATTAAAATTTGTTAAATAAATTTGAACATAATTTTTAAATATATTTAAATTTTGGTAGGACTTTAAATAAAAGAATTAAAGTTCAAACCTGAATAATAATGTAATTAAAATATTATAATTATAGAAGTATATATATGTGAAATATTTATTTTTTTAAAAAATAAGTTCTAAAAATTTTTATTATATAAATTAAGTTTAATAAATTAATTTAAGATTTATTTTTCAATTTAAATCAAACTTGAAAAAATTTTAAAGTTTAAAATATTGGGTCAGATTGAACATAAAAAAAAATATAAACTATTAATATTAATATGAGTGCAATTTTAATCCAATTTAATCATAAATTTAACTCGATACATAAATACTTTTACTTGAAAGTTAATTATCCTTTATTAGCAGCCCACAAACAGGCATGCATATGTAATGTACCCCAAATACTGTATTATACCATTCACTAATAATACAATTAGGTCATCAATCTCTATAGATATGGCACGCAGCTCTGTTTGTACTTTCCATTCAGGTAAAAAAAAAGTCTTTACGTACAATTAGAGAAATAATATTATTAAAGTGGAACTGGAATTAAAATTAATAGGTAATGTTTAGTTAATAAGATAATAGATAAAATAAAATAATAATTATTTTATATTATATTTGATTTATATCTAAAAAATATATATAAAATTATTAAAAAAATTAATATAAAATTATAAAAAGATTAATTATTCTCTTGCTATATAATGACTTAATCCTCTTAAAATAAAAAAAATTACTTTTAATCTATAAGATTAAACTTATATGTTTTATTATACTTTTAAAAATTATATTAATAATATAAATTATATAAATTTTTAAAAAATAATTTTTACTAATAAATAAATTATTTTATCATAATTTTTGTACATATCAAATATAAAATAAAATAATATTATTTAATCTAATTTTATTTATAATATCATAGTATCATATTCTATTATAATATTATATATTAAACATATCCATAAGTTTTCATCTAAAATTAATCATAGCCATCGGTTGATTCCGATTACCGACATTACTCACTGAAGCCTTTTCACCCGATTCACCGAATCATTACCGCCGCGTTTGCATAACAGTCTCCATCTTGCTTTGTTTTTAAGGCTTTAATCCTCCACTTTCCCAGTTGAATTTTTTTTCATTTTTTAAATGTTGAAACGTGTGGCCTTATAATTTACCCGTTGCAATGAGTTTGATCTTATTCCATAATTAATGATGTCAACGCTTGGGTGCCAAGAAAAATGGATTTGCATAGAGGCACCTACCACATTTATATCCACAAAACAGACTGATTTGAAACATCAGCCAGTGGAGAAACGACTAAGCAGGATTTCAACTGAGTTGGTGCACAACAATTCTTATACCCGATTAGATTGACACAAACAAATCATTCATGAAATTTTCTGATTATTTTGGAAGTAACACATGTAATAAACCCAAAAGCATATCTACCTTTTTAAGTTTTTACTTGTTGATTGTAGAAAACATATGGCATAAAGTCATTGGTAA